ACCATCTTTTGGCAGAAGCATTCAACAGAACAAAATATGTGGTGCATTTAGGATGTCGGTCCTCTTGTGCATGTTGCCACTGTTAAGATCATCAGACTCACAGTGACTTTCAGCAATCCATTGCATAGGTAATCTTCATCTTTGGCCTGTCCAATGCATAGGTAATCGTTTTCTTTGGCCTGTCCAAGGAGATCCAAACCTGTAGGTGGTGGTCATGCATCCCATCCCCCACCTCCTACACAGGTGGCCAGTGGGGCGCGCCCCCCCCACCCCCAGTGTAGGAGGCCTGCGGGAGGCACGTGGCCCCCCAGCACGGGCGGCCGGAGGGCGCCTGCTTCCCTCAGAGCCGCCATCCTGGCTCTAAGAATTCTCTCCAGACCAAGTCCACCTTGCGGCAGTGTGGTGGCTTCACTATACCAGTCTTGAAGAGGGCCGGTGCCCAGCATCCATCCTGGGTGAGGGAATCCATTCATTCCGGCTCTGGAAGCCTCATGGAGCTGCAGTGGCTGTGCGGCGCAGCGAGGGCTCTGCAAGGGGGCGGGGTTGGGAGCCACGAGACTCACCCATTTCTCCTTGGGAATCCTTGAATTCCTGTTGTTGAGCCTCGATCTTCACTGAGGGCCAGTCATCAACTGTTTAAGTGTTCAGTTATCAATAAGTCGAAGTCTGTGGAAGGCCATAATGGCCCTGCTTTAAGTGGTTCGCTGCTCCCGCAGCTCACCACGCTGTCTCTGACTCTGCCGCCATCTTGGATCTCAAACAAGTTAATTTTTATACAAATGGGATTGTTGTAAAGTTCAGCCACTTGACAGCAGGTGGTTTAATTAGCTTTTAAAATCCCATTTTACTAAGACTGCATTCCCTCATTCATCTGTGTCATACTGCTCAGTTAAAACTGTTGATTCTGAAAATCTTTGTCCTGTTTTCTAGCATTTACTTAGATTTTTAGAGAAAGTGTGAATAATGTAAGAATTATACAAAAAATATAAAATAGTTTATGTAGGTCAGGTCAGACTTTTAATATCAGTTGTTACAGCTTATTTTAGCATATTTTTAAATTTTATATTAATTTGCTTACATATTTTAGCATTTTAAAATTTGGCTTTATAGCTGCTTTCCACGTTATACTTATTGATTAAAACACTAGTATCTTTTTAAATTCAAAATCTTAATTTATGGGTTTTATAAAGCTCATAAAGGGTCTTATATAGCATGAATGTATTAAAGTATTTCCCATGTTCTTAAATAATTGACTATTTCATGGAAGTAGTTATTGTTAGGACATTTACCCTAGAGAAAGTACATAACTTATACAAATAAAAAGCAGTTATTTAAAATCTAAAATTCTCCTCGAAGCTCTTTATTTCTCTCATTTATCATCCTCGTATGTACCTAGAACTGTATGTTGTTGTTATTGATTGCTGTTGAGTTGAGCACAACTCATAGTGATCCTGTAAAAGGCCTGAAGCCTTTCTATAACTATCGTCGTTCATCAGAGTTCATAGTTTCCAGATGCATGTTGTTTAGGAAGTAGATGCCGCTCCTGTTTTCAAACTTGTCTTAAACTGTATACCATTGAAAGTCTGAAATTAAGCAAATTCTGCTGGCTTAGAAAACAGTTTCTTGTCCCTTAAGAATGTCATGTGATATACAAAGTTATCTTTCCTCAGTTGGTCAAATGTTGTTCCTCCATGAGTCATCTTATTAATAGCTTTCTAGGAATAAAATAGTTTGAAATTTAAACCAAGATAAAGAATCTGTTCATTTTAAATTTTACATCTACAATTGTTTAGTTTACTAATTTTGTAAAGTAAAACA